CCGCCAGGGCCCAGGACTGCTCCGCGGGAGCGGGGGGGGGGGGGAGCACGTGGGGCCCAGGGTGGTGACCCCCGTCCTCAGCTCTGGGGCCCAAGCCACCCCACGCAGGCCCTGTTCTAGGTCCCAGCCCCCGGGGCCGACCGCTCCATCCTGCGCCCTTGGGAGGAGGCCCGGGCTCCCCGGACGCGGCTCCCTGCACAGCTCAGCCTGCAGGGGAGAGGTGGAGGAGCCGGGCGAGGCGCAGGGCAGCGCCCGGGGGGCCGCAAGCTGCCCGGAGAAGATGCTCGAGCCCCGGGCTGGACTGCGCCTGCGCCTTGTCCAGAAGAGTCTTGCAGGGGCGGCGCTGGGCCCGTTCTTGCATTCTCAGCTCATCTGGCAGGCAGCAGGACACTTCTTGGTTTTGTTGTTGTTTTAACGCGCAAATCTTACTCTGCGGAGGGACTGCTGGGGTCGTCTTGCCACGCACTCAACCCCTTGTGGCCGAAATGCTTTGTCACTTTTCCTCAACAAAACAATTTCAAAAAATGTTCCCCGGGCCGGCATTGTGGCATAAAGCTGCTGCCTGCAACACTGGCATCCACATGGGCGCCGGTTTGAGTCCCGGCTGCTCCACTTCCGATCCAGCTCTCTGCTGTGGCCTGGGAAGGCAGCAGAAGATGGCCAAGTCCTTGGGCCCCTGCACCTGCATGGGACACCTGGAAGAAGTGCCTGGCTCCTGATCGGTCCACATCCGGCCACTGCGGCTATTTGGGGAGTGAACCAGTGGATGAAGACCTTCTGTCTCTCCCAGTGTCTGTAACTCCACCAAATAAATAAGATCTTAAAAAGAAAGAGAGAGAGATTCACTCTACGTTTGCCAACAAACATGAACTCCCCGAATAGCCACACAGGGCCGGCGCTGTGGCTCACTGGTTAATTCTCTTCCTGCGGCGCTGGCATCCCATATGGGCGCTGGGTTCTGTCCCGGTTGCCCCTCTTCCAGGCCAGCTCTCTGCTGTGGCCCGGGAGTGCAGTGGAGGATGACCCAAGTGCTTGGGCCCTGCACCCCATGGGAGACCAGGAGAAGCACCTGGCTCCTGGCCTTTGGATCGGTCGCAGTGCCAGCCGTAGCACCCATTTTGGGGGTGAACCAATGGAAGGAAGACCTTTCTCTCTCGTGTGTCTCTCTCACTGTCTAACTCTGCCTGTCAGATATATATATATATATATATATATATATATATATATAAAAGGAAAGAAAATATCCACACAGGGGATGGCAGCAAGTGCCATCTCTCGAGAACACACAGCAGTCTGGCGCACGATGCTTTCTGAGCCTGATTAGTGATGTCTGCCGTGGGCAGTGGCAAGCCCTAGGTGTTTATCAACCTGTTCTCAAAGCTTCATGCTTCCTCACGCTGGACAAAGATACAAGCACTTGTGCGAGTAATAATGTCTCGAGTAACATGCCAGCATGCCTACATAGAGAATGGCTAATTTTGGATGCCCCTCCCCCTTTTTAAAGGTTTATTTTATTTGAAAGGCAGAGTTACAGAGAGGAAGGGAGAGACAGACAGACAGGTCTTCCATATGCTGGTTCGCTCCCTAAATGGCCTCAACGGCCAGAGCTGCGCCGAACTGAACCAGGAGCCAGGAGCCTCCTCTGGGTCTCCCACGCGGGTGCAGGCACCCGAGGACCTGGGCCACCCTCCACTGCTCTCCTAGGCCACAGCAGACAGCTGGATCAGAAGTGGAGCAGCCCAGACTCCAGCCAGCACTGCAGGTGGCGGCATTATCGGCTACGCCACAGCGCCAGCCGCCACAATTTATTCTTAAAAGGTTTCGGTTCACCAATCTTTGCTGAAACTACAGAAGTTTAGGACATTTCCTGTTCTTGTTGTCTGTGAAAATACGCCCCCAGGGCCAGCACTGTCAGCTGCCACTCAGTGGGACAGGCTGCCCACAAACAAGCCCACACGCACAAAGCCCAGGTGGAGAGAACCAAAGAACCATGCAGAACCCGACCAGCGAAAAGGAACACAGTACTGAGCTCCCACACCCAGTACTGAGCTCCCACCCCCTCACCCCCACAGCAGTGAGCCCTCACCCCCTCCCAGCACTGAGCTCCCACCTCCCTCACCCCCTCACCCCTCACAGCACTGCGCCCTCACCCCCCACCCCTCACAGCACTGAGCCCTCACCCCCCCCCCACCCCTCACAGCACTGAGCCCTCACCTCCCTCACCCCTCACAGCACTGAGCCCTCACCCCCTCACCCCTCACGGCAATGAGCCCTCACCTCCCTCACCCCTCACAGCACTGAGCCCTCACCTCCCTCACCCCCCTCACCTCCCTCACCCCTCACGGCAATGAGCCCTCACCTCCCTCACCCCTCACGGCACTGAGCCCTCACCTCCCTCACCCCCCTCACCTCTCTCACCCCTCACCCCCTCACCCCTCACAGCAATGAGCCCTCACCCCCTCACCCCTCACAGCACTGAGCCCTCACCTCCCTCACCCCTCACGGCAATGAGCCCTCACCTCCCTCACCCCTCACAGCACTGAGCCCTCACCTCCCTCACCCCTCACGGCACTGAGCCCTCACCTCCCTCACCCCCCTCACCTCCCTCACCCCTCACGGCAATGAGCCCTCACCTCCCTCACCCCTCACAGCACTGAGCCCTCACCTCCCTCACCCCTCACAGCACTGAGCCCTCACCCCCACACCCCTCATGGCAATGAGCCCTCACCTCCCTCACCCCTCACGGCACTGAGCCCTCACCTCCCTCACCCCCCTCACCTCCCTCACCCCTCACGGCAATGAGCCCTCACCCCTTCACCCCTCACAGCAATGAGCCCTCACCCCCTCACCCCTCACAGCACTGAGCCCTCACCCCCTCACCCCTCACAGCACTGAGCCCTCACCTCCCTCACCCCTCACGGCACTGAGCCCTCACCTCCCTCACCCCCCTCACCTCCCTCACCCCTCACGGCAATGAGCCCTCACCCCCTCACCCCTCACAGCAATGAGCCCTCACCCCCTCACCCCTCACGGCACTGAGCCCTCACCTCCCTCACCCCCCTCACCTCCCTCACCCCTCACGGCAATGAGCCCTCACCCCCTCACCCCTCACAGCACTGAGCCCTCACCTCCCTCACCCCTCACGGCAATGAGCCCTCACCTCCCTCACCCCTCACAGCACTGAGCCCTCACCCCCTCACCCCTCACAGCACTGAGCCCTCACCTCCCTCACCCCTCACAGCACTGAGCCCTCACCTCCCTCACCCCTCACAGCACTGAGCCCTCACCCCCTCACCCCTCACAGCACTGAGCCCTCACCCCCTCACCCCTCACAGCACTGAGCCCTCACCCCTCACCCCTCACAGCACTGAGCCCTCACCCCCCACCCCTCACAGCACTGAGCCCTCACCCCCTCACCCCTCACAGCACTGAGCCCTCACCCTCCACCCCTCACAGCACTGAGCCCTCACCCCCTCACCCCTCACAGCACTGAGCCCTCACCTCCCTCACCCCTCACGGCAATGAGCCCTCACCCCCTCACCCCTCACAGCACTGAGCCCTCACCCCTCACAGCACTGAGCCCTCACCTCCCTCACCCCTCCCAGCACTGCGCCCTCACCCTCCCACCCCTCACAGCACTGCGCCCTCACCCCCTCACCCTCACAGCACTGAGCCCTCACCTCCCTCACCCCTCACGGCACTGAGCCCTCACCTCCCTCACCCCCCTCACCTCCCTCACCCCTCACGGCAATGAGCCCTCACCCCCCTCACCCCTCACAGCAATGAGCCCTCACCCCCTCACCCCTCACGGCACTGAGCCCTCACCTCCCTCACCCCCCTCACCTCCCTCACCCCTCACGGCAATGAGCCCTCACCCCCTCACCCCTCACAGCAATGAGCCCTCACCCCCTCACCCCTCACGGCACTGAGCCCTCACCTCCCTCACCCCCCTCACCTCCCTCACCCCTCACGGCAATGAGCCCTCACCTCCCTCACCCCTCACGGCAATGAGCCCTCACCCCCTCACCCCTCACAGCACTGAGCCCTCACCTCCCTCACCCCTCACAGCACTGAGCCCTCACCTCCCTCACCCCTCACGGCAATGAGCCCTCACCTCCCTCACCCCTCACAGCACTGAGCCCTCACCCCCTCACCCCTCACTGCACTGAGCCCTCACCTCCCTCACCCCTCACAGCACTGAGCCCTCACCCTCCACCCCTCACAGCACTGAGCCCTCACCCCCTCACCCCTCACAGCACTGAGCCCTCACCTCCCTCACCCCTCACAGCACTGAGCCCTCACCCCCTCACCCCTCACAGCACTGAGCCCTCACCCCCTCCCCCTCACAGCACTGAGCCCTCACCCCCTCACCCCTCACAGCACTGAGCCCTCACCCCCCCACCCCTCACAGCACTGAGCCCTCACCCCCTCACAGCACTGAGCCCTCACCTCCCTCACCCCTCCCAGCACTGCGCCCTCACCCCCCCACCCCTCACAGCACTGAGCCCTCACCCCCTCACCCCTCACAGCACTGAGCCCTCACCCCCTCACAGCACTGAGCCCTCACCTCCCTCACCCCTCCCAGCACTGCGCCCTCACCCCCCCCACCCCTCACAGCACTGCGCCCTCACCCCCTCACAGCACTGAGCCCTCACCTCCCTCCTCCTCCTCACCCCTCACCTCCCTCTCACCCCACCCACCATGCCGCTTTGCCCGCCTCCCCTGGAGAAACAGAGACATGTCGCAAGCAATAACCGGGTTTTATTCAGTTCATAAAGGAGTTTTAAAACAAAATGCTAGCAACACTTCTAGACCGTTGGTTTGTCCATCTGACATTTCTCTATCGGCACTGATTTTATTACAAAAACCAGAGAAGTAAAAATTCATTACAATATTTGCACAGTGTGCCCACTAGTTGCCTAAACAAAGTGAATTTCTATAAAACCATGAACTCAATGCAAGTTTAGAGAGAAAATCCTGCCAGTAACTGGACGTACATAGTGGTATATACTTCAGAGCAGAAAGGCCCCAAACAAAACAAGAGAAAAAGAAAGCGTTAAGTCAGAACAGTTAAGTATCTCCTCCTGACAGTTCCTACCAGGAGGGACTTCCACCACGCGAGGGGGCCGTTCCCCGTGGCAGGAGGTCCAGGGACCGAGGAGGAAAGTGGCAGAGAAACAAGTCAGAAGCCGCCCCGGCCCCGGGCAGCATCGCAGCCAGCAGCCCGGGACCAGGCCCACGCCCACGCCCAGACCCGGGGCGCTCAGGGTCCCAGTGAGCGACACTGGGAGAGAGGCGTCGTGTTTCTTCACACCAACCACGCCGAGAAGCCCGGGTGGGGCCGCACCTCGCGCAGGGAGGCCCGGTGTGTCACCTACGCCACAGGCGCCGGCACGGCGGGCTGGGCTAGCAGGCGCCGGCCTCTGGGGACCTCCAGCAGCGACCCCTGACTTTGACAAAAGGAGAACCAGGGACAGCGTAAGGAGAAACGGTGGAGGCCGGCGCCAGGAAACCCGGACCCCGAGGGCGCACGTCGGGACGCGCCCGGGCCCGGCCGACACTGGCGCCCGCGCAAGCACGCGCGGGGAACCTGTGGAACCAGAGGCTGCCGCTCAGAGAGGGAAAGTATAAGAAATGGTGCTGCGGGCTGGCTGCCCGGAGGCCCGGCGCGCCGGCCGCCGGCCCGGCCTTAGGAGCCGTGGGACAGGTGCATGGTGCCCAGCACGGCGCTGTCGTAGCGCTGCGCCACCTTCACGGAGTCGGAGTGCTCCAGCACGCTGTTCAGCTCGGGCATGCTCTCGGCCGTGTCCCCGAAGCCGTGGTAATGTCCGTAGTGCAGGTTCCCCTCGGGGTCCTCCACCCAGCAGGGCCTGCTGGCCACGCAGCCGCTCGGGCTGCCGTTGAGGTGCAGGGAGCCGCACATCTCTGCGCTGCCGCTCCTCTCCGGCTCCTCGCTCCCGTCCACGCACACGGAGCCCTGGCCGCCGGCGAACGGCCGGGCCGGCGCCAGCGCGGGGCTCACCCCGGGCGGCCCCGCTGAGCAGGGGCCACTCCTGCCTTCCATGCCACCGAGCTGGGCCGTGGAGGGGAAGTCCGAGTGTCCGCTGATGACACAGCCGTTTGTCAAGACATTCGATACGGAGCTACTGTTTTTCATATCTGCATTAAGAAATACACCTGTCACCAGAATTCAGAACCAGCACAGGAGGAAAAAAACCCACAAAACGTGCGTGAGGAGGTTGGAAAACACGAGCCAGGAGCGCGGGGCAGCCGCACGGGAGGCCACACCGGGGAGGCCCCGTGAGCAGTTCTGAAAACCAGCCCTGCGTAGGTCCATCCTCGAAGTGGAAGCGCGCACAGAGCGCGGGTCCCAGGGAGAAGCACGAGGCCGTGCGGCCGGCACAGGCCGCTCTTCTCCACGCGCTCCTCGCAACGGGGCAGGAAAGGGGGCCGCGTTCTCCCGCGGGGACTCCCGCGCAGTCCGCCGGGGGCGTCTTCCGAGCCCCGCCATCCCAGGGACCTGGACAGCCAGCTTCCTTCTCGGTTTACTTTCAAAAGCCACGCGTGTTGTGGGGAAATGCGGATGGGTGAACCTGTGCGCGCACACACATCCCGGAGGAGGGAGACGGCTTACGGGGGACGAGGCCAGCCCCACGCCTCTGGGCAGCGGGACAGCCTGCCCGGGGCCCGGGACTGCGCAGGCTCAGAGGTGCGGACAAAGCGACCTGGTGCCTGGTGACAGGGGCTCCTATCTCCACCCTGCGCTACTCGGCAGGCATGGCAGCGCTCGGCTCGGACAGCCTCGTCCTGACCACGCCCTACCACCCCACCCCTCACCCACGTCTCCCAGCCCCCACCGGTCTCCCGGCCAAATTCAAGACTTTACAATAAGTGCTTCAAGGGCCGAACGTAAAATGGAAAGGGGAAATGGAACTGGCTGTCCCTGGGGAGCGCTCTACATCCCTCCTCCGGGACAGAGGGGTGGCTTTTCCTGGGTGCCGGCCCCCGCAGTCACCTGTGCCCACCGCCACCGCGCCAGAGGTCGGCCGGCCACCCCCGGGCTGTGCGCCCTGCCGTGCGCACGCGCCATCACCGGCCCCGGCGGAGCCGCTCCGCTGGGCCGCAGGCTCGGGCTGAGTGGGCTGAGGGCTCCGGCCTCCACCGCCCCCGGGCTAAGGGCAGCATCTGAACACGGTTCTTAAGGAACGCATGATCCGTCACCGGAGACACAAACAGCCCTGAGGGCCTTGGGAAGGATCCAGAGCTGACTCTCAGATGCCGGGCCCTGGGACGCAGGGACGCAGGGCCGGGGCCGAGCTACGGGTGTGAGGGCGCAGCCCTGCTGTCCATCTTCGGCGGGGTCAGACAGCCCCCACGACAGCCGGCCATTCGTCAGCGGCGGAGCAGAGCCGAGCACGGGGCCCACCGGCTGGACGGAAGCCGTGCTTCACGCCACCCTTCCTCTCCGGGGAGAATTCAGCATGAAGACGGATAAGCAAACTGCTTAAGGAATGGGGCTGATCTTCATGCCAGGAAAACGCGCGAGGAACCCCACGAGGCCTCTGTCCCTGGGGAGGCCCCCAGGGGAGCATCCTTCACCGCCCCGGGCGCTGGGAGACACGAGCCTGGGATCTGGGAAACACGTCTGTCCACTCTGCCTGGCAGCAGCCACAGCCCAGACGTGTCCGCGGCCGACGCTCCCGGCTCCGCGCCGTCCGTGCTTACGAATACTGGGAGCTGCGCACCTCAAGACTTCCCAGAAAATCAAAAAAAAGAAAAAAAAAGAAAAAAAAAAAGAAAAAGAAAAAAGAAAAAAAGCAAACCTCATCACAACCAAACAAGGCACATGGACGGCCGAAGCTGCGCACCAGGGAGGGCTGCGCGTGCTTTTCGTCTCCACAGCGAGCACCGCAGCCACTCCTCCTCGTCTACACGCGCCGGGAGCACCGCAGCCCGCGGCGCCCCGCTCAGAAGTAGTGGGCGTACTGGCTGCGGCACCGGCACGGGGTCTGCATGGCGGACACAGTGTATATCTCTATGTCCTTGGGGGCCACGGCGCCGGCGTGGCAGCGGGCAGGAACCTGTGCACCCCCACCTGTTAGGGCGCCACCCTCTCTGTCGACGTGCATCCTGTCCGCTTCGTCTTCCGCCTCGCCGTTCGCCAGCGGCATGGCGCAGTCCAGGCCCGGAGCTGCGTGGAAAACAGACAGTGTCTTAGACCACGGTGAGAGCCGCCCCCGCCAGCCCTGGCCCCGGCGCCGCCAGCGCGGCATGCGACTGAGAACCCGGCTCCCCACACAAAGCCACGAAATCCCAGGTGCCTGTTCTAGAATTTACCGGGCGGCAAAGTCCCAACACAAAAACGGTTACATAACCGGGACACAATTCTGAACAATTTTTTTTCAAATTCAGCATTTTCCAAAAGTACAAGGCTTTCAAAAAATTCAAGGATGACGCACATTGTGAAAAAGCTACGCGTGGAGTTCAATCAGTTGTTGGTATCAAAATTGTCTTTATCTCCAGTCTTCCACAAACCTCTGGCAATGCCCTCACACCGAGACATTCCTCAAATAACATAAAAACCATTAAAAGCACCTTGAGGTTACCAGAACGCGCTGGTCTCCTGAGCGGAGACGCCGAGGTCCAGCCCTATGCTGGCACCAGACCCGGGCTCCCGGACACTGACAATGGGTGAGCCAAGTGATTTGGCAGACGTGGCGCCGGTGCTGCACACGTCTGTTCCAACACGCCCGCACCTCCTCTCCCCACCCCTCAGGCAGCCTGGCCTTGGGTGCGTGGCCTCTGTCCTTGGCAACAGCAGCTTTCTTAAACCAACAGGGGCCCGGGAAGTCCCTGGCGCACCTTGCACGCTTTGCCCGTGTCTGCTCCAGGTGACCCGCAGGTGGCTGGCGCCACAGTCCCCAGCCCAAGGCCCTCGTGGTCTGGGCTGCTTCACCTGCCTTCCCTGCCTCAGTGTGCATTTCTCGTTTTTGTGCATTTTTAAAAAGATCTTTATTGTTTTTAGAAAAAATTTAGCTGAAGGGCAGAGTTACGGGGTGGGGTGGGGGCATATCTTTCATCCACTGACTCACTCCCCAAACACAATGGCCACGGCTGGGCCAGACTAAAGCCAGGAGCTTCTTCCGGGGCCCAAGCACTTGGGCCGTCTTCTACTGCTTTCCCAGGCCATAGCAGAGAGCGGGATCGGAAGCGGTGCAGCCGAGACTTGAATCAGTGCCCATATGGGACGCCGGCACTGACAACACCAGCCCATTTCTGGCGCTTAAATACCCAGAAGCATTTCTGGGCCAAGTAACGCAACAATGACAAGTCAGCACAGCAGACGTCAGCTCGGGGAGGCGCGAACTGCGCAGCTTTAATCGGCTCTGGTCTTGGAGGCACAGCGGCTACATTGATCCACACCCAGGATGAGAAACCCGGTTTCTGTGAGGCTGGACAAACGGGGCTCAGGATTCGTGCGACTGGGAAAGGCAGGAGACCCCTGGGTAGAAGTGTTCCTGAGACGCGGGTGCTCTGCACAGAGGCACCCATGGCCTGCCCCCCGCCCCCGGCATCCCCGGACCACACAAGCGCCAGGCTGGCCGCCATGGTGAACGAGACACCTTACCCAGTGGGCCAAGGCCAGGCTGGGGCTCCAGGCGGCCAGCTGAGGAGCAGCAGGGCCGGGGCCCGCGCCGCATCTCTAACCCCAACGCCTGGGTCTGCCTTGGATTCAGGTGCCAGCGTCCCTGGAGTCAGGGGCAACCAGAGGTTGTATGTGCAATCCCACGCCTCTGAAGAGATCAACATACAAAACAGGCCAGCGCTGCGGCGCGGAGGGTAAAGCCGCCACCTGCGAGGCCAGCTTTGTGCGTGTTGGCCGGTTCGAGTCCCAGCTGCTCCACTTCCGATCCAGCTCCCTGCTAATGGCCTGGGGAAGCAGTGGATGGCTCAAGTGCTTGGGCTTCTGTTTGACCCAGCCCTGGCCATTGGGGACACTTGGGAAGCGAACCAGTGTGTCTACGATCTCTCTCCAATTTTGACTTAAAAAACAAAAAAGGATCCACACAACAAACTCCTGACAACTATGACGTGAGGGTGCAACACACACACAGAGACGGGCTCACAGAAGCAGGGCTGCTTGTCTTCCTCGCTGGGCCCAGGGCCTACAAGCACGCCCGTGTCCACGATGCCCACTCCCCAACCCAGAAGCGGACAGCAGGGCAGCCAGAGCTGTCCCAGCCAGGCGTCCAGCAGTGCGTGGGACACCGGGCAGAGCCACTAGGGGGCAGGAGAGCTGGGGGACACTGTGCAGAACCCACTCCCACTGGGGAGGAGCTGCTGCACCTCCCGTTCTCACCAAGGCAGGGCGAAACCCCAAGGCTTCCCGGGCTCAGCCACCCAGTTCTCCGACGTGGGAAACTCGTGAAATGGCCCCAGTCTCACCTCTGTAGTGTCCCGTCCCCACCACGGGCCAGCCCCTGCTGTCCTGCTGCCCAGCACCACAGCCCGGAGGCGCTCGGCGGCTGCAGGAAGCTCATTCCCAGCTCCTGGCTCGGACCCAGCCTGGGAACCCGAGTAGAGGCTGGAGCCGTGAATTACAACTGCCTCTCACATGTCCAGAACACCGGATTAAAACCCAGCCTGCCTCCTGACCCCCAGACCACGCTGCCGGAATTCATCCTGCAGACGTCTCAGGACGGCCAGGTGCCTCCTGCACGCCGACTCCCACCCTTCGGTCCTGGGAGGGCTTGTTCTCTCCTCACCTTCCCCTTGACAAATGAGGACGTCACCTGCAGTGACCCGAGCCGTGGCCTGGATGTGCCTGGCTTCCCCTGCCCTCAGCAGTGAGGACAGTGGTCAGCCTGCCCCTGCCCCCGCCCCTTCCTGGACCTTGGGGGCCAGTGTATGCTGTGACCCCGCTGTCTAAAAACACAGGTCTCACTCACCAGGGGGCTGCTGCACCACTGCGGTGACCCCATGGCCCTTGGGGCACCTGTCACAGCAGCCTGGGTGCTGGGAGCCACCTTGGTCCATCTCACAGGGACCCAGGGCACAGGGGCAGAGGACCTGGCTACCCGCCAAGACCACGTGCAAATGTGTCCAGGGCTCACGAAAAAGCACCCAAGTGTACTGGCCTTGAAAGCAGGTCAGCCCCATGTGGAGACGTGCCCCAGCCGGCATGCACTGGACCTGGTCGCTGTGACCCCTGCAGGAGACGCCCGTTCACCCGTGGTGGAACCACGTCCACAGCCACCCCCAGCGAGGCGGGGTCAGGGAGCATCGGCCTTCCCCGAGGCAGTCCCTGGCGGCACCGGAGTTCCCATCAAGGAAGCAGGGAGACAGGCCCCTCAGCTTACTGCCAGTAGCTACAACTGTCCTGGGAGGTTCCACCAGTGACCTTCGATGGGGCTGGCCTCCTGCCAGGGCCTAGGCCTCAGCCACGCAGGGGCTAGGGTGGCTGAGCAGGCAGGTGCAGAGGACGGCCCGGCGTCCGGGAAGAGGCTCCAGGGGTTCTGCAGTTAGCAGGAAGGGAAGCTGTGAGACAGGAACGCAGCCTCCGGGCCGTGCAGAGAACCACGTGGACGCACGGGACGGGTCTGCCGCCCAGCAGCGCCGGTGCAAGTCAGACATGGCTCTGGAAGGGCCAACCAAGCCACAAGTGTGTCCAGCCTGGCCACGGTTCTAGAGAATTCAACAGCTGCGCACTGCTGCCCTGTGTCACTCAAGGTCACTGCCGCAGAAGGGACGGATGAGCAAGTCTTCCAGCCTGCCAAGGCCAACGGTGACACGACAGACAGGCCTCACTGTCTGAACCCACCCCGGAGGAAAAGGGATTTACTGCACACCCAGTCTGCCTGCGGCTCCCCGTCCCTGCCACCCCGGGCAGCTCCTCCCGGGATGAAGACACACGGGGCTACAGCGTCTGTGACCGTGTCCCCAGCACCCTGCAATGCCTGAGTCCGACGCTGGACCTGACGCTGCGGTCAGAGGGGACTGCCATTCTCCTCTGGCCGGGACCCCGATGACTGACGCGCTGGGGTGGAGTCGCTCCTGAAGACGGCACGGGGACGCTGGCTGACCTCAGCTGACCTGCACACAGCAAGTGCAGCTGCTGCCCTGGGCTCCTCCCCACGGCCCCTCTGATGAACAGAAAAGCTGACAGGATCATGCTTTCTGTACAAAATCCCACGCTGGGCCAAGTACGACCCGCAAACAATTCTCACGAAGTCACCCGCTCTGGCCGCAGCCCGGCCCTCAATAGCCCACACCCACAGGGCCGGCGTGCACCACGGCCACAGGTCATGGCAGGCACCCACTTCCAGGCAGCAACACAGCGGCCATCTTCCGTGTCCGTCTTTTCCCAGGGAAAATGGCTTCGGCTCCAACTACCCGAGTCAAGCGTGAGTCGTGAGTCGCCGGCGCAGATCCACGCCCTGTGGGCAGCGGTGGCATCGGCCGCCGGCCCTGCTGACGTCGGCTTAGCCTGCAGGACTGCTGGAAGTAACTGCTTTTATGAACACAACTCCACAGCGAGATCAGTCTAAGCGGTTCTTAGATGACAGCGGGCCAAAGAGGACTTTTATTAACGAGGCCTGAGTTACACAGCCTATAGACAGGACAGCCCAGGACTTGGGGAACAGCAGCACCCCAGTGACAACTGGAAATCTGGCCAATGTTTTAGATGAAGTCACTTCAAGAAGTACTGTGTGTGTATGTTACCAGGGGAAGGAAAATACTTAATACTTACTCCAGTGTGAGAACCAAAGGCCAACAAGAGGAAAAGTGAGGCACACAGATTCACACAGCGAATCAAGTAAAAGAGATTACAAAGTGACTGAACAAACTACAGCAAGCGATCCTGAAAGTCAAAGCAAACCCTGACGAAGGCCACGTGGGCAGAGCAGCGGGGCACAGGGCACAGCCTCGCGGTGCGCACATCCGGGCTGAGTCCTGCTCTGGTGGTCAGAGCACCCGCCACCCCTCAGGTGCATTCGAGGGGCGCTTCACCCTTCCATGTCTGCAGTCACCTGAACAGAAACGCACGGCCCCAGCGTCTTCCCCGAGGCCAGCACCCCAGGCCGAGGGCTGAGAACGTGCAGTGGGGAAAGCTGCCGGGCCAGTGTGATGTGCAGCCAACAGGGCCTCTAACCGCCGGCACGACACGGATCCCTGCTCCGAAGAGCCAGCCTGTGCGGTAACCAGGCTTCGGGAACTCAGCAGTTCCTGGAAAAGCTTTGCAGGGTACCTAAGCAATGGCATACCGGCCAGTTCTACCGACCTCAGCTCCCCGGGCATGTTTCTGAGTCTGACTAGAACGTGAAGTGTCGGGGCCAGCTCTGGCAGCCCATTGGGTGCGGGTTCAAGTCCCGGCTGCTCCACTTCCAGCCCAGCTCCCCACTAATGGCCTGGGCGGGGCCGGCCAGACAGCAGAAGATGGCCCAAGAGTCTGGGTCCCTGCCACCCACTTGAGAGCTGCAGGAAGCTCCTGGCTCCAGGCTTCTGCCTGCCCAGCCCCGGCTGTTGCAGCCATCTGGGGAGTGAACCAGGGAATGGAGAATCGGTGTTTGCCTGCCTCTAACTCTTTCAAATAAATAAATAAATCTTAAAAACAAAACAAAACAAAACAACTGTCACTTTTGTAAAAACACTGAAGAGGATTTAAGGTTGATCAACAATAAGGGAGACGTCACAAATGTTTAAAGCATATTTATCCCATGAATCCCCACGCTGGACACAACTCATGCACGAGGTCAACCCTGAAGTATCAGAAAAACCCCAATGCATGTCGCTGCGTGGCAGAACCTCTCCTCTGAGAAGGGCTCTGCCGGAATCCACACTCTTCCATGTCATGCTTCTGACTTTCATGGCATTTAAAAAAATTTTTTTATTTATTTGAAACGCTGATTTCTAAAAAGAGGAGGGCAAGCAAGTGAGCGAATCTTCCACCTGCTGGTTCACTCCCCAAATGGCTGCCAATGGCTGGGGCTGGGGCTGGGCTAGGCCAAAGCCAGGAGCCAGGAGCCAGGAGCCAGGAGCCAGGAGCCTGTTCTAGGTCTCCTACATGAGGGCAGAGGCCCAAGTACTTGGGCCATCTTCCGCTATCCTCCCAGGGGCACTAGCAGGGAGCTGGATTGGAAGCAGAGCAGCGAGGAACTGAACAGGTGCCCATATGGCAGTGGCTTAACCTTCTATGCCAGTGCCAGCCCTTTATGGCATCTTTTTCTTAAAGATTTATTTATATACTTGAAAGAGGAGAGGCAGAGAGAGAGGTCTTCCATCCTCTGGTTCACTCCCACACAGCCACAACGGCTGGAGCTGTGTCCAACTTTAGCCAGGAGCTTCCTCTGGGTCTCCCACGTGGGTGCAGGGGCCCAAGGACCTGGGCCATCTTCTACTGCTTTCCCAGGCCACAGCAGAGAGCTGGATCGGAAGTGGAGCAGCCGGTGCCCACATGGGATGGCGGCACTGCAGGCGGTGGCTTTACCTTCTATGTCACGGCGCCGGCCCTATGGCATCTCTCTAGAAATTATTATGCTCACAACTTATGAAAATCCTGAGTTCAATCAACCATTATTTAAGGCTATAGGTTCACTTCTATGTAAAAGTCACCCAATCATCAGGTTTTTGAAAGTTCCAGGATTTAAACAGTTGTGAAGCTACAGGCAGCATTTTGTTAGCTTCACAGGGGACAGCGTCCTGTGTGGACGTGTACTCCAGTGGAGCTCGTGGGGCGAGCAGTGCACAAGGGCACTGTGGACCCAGGTCCAGCTTGTATTCAACCCAGACCCCTCCACATCTTCAAGTGACGGACTCGGCTATACTCGAGCTGTGTAAGGCTGAGGGGCACACCTTCCAGCTGGCTCTCGGCAGGGCTGTCCCAGCGACCAGTGTGCACACACTGTCTCCCAGATGGGAACAATTTCCCGCTTGGCAAAAGCAGCTCTCGTAACTGGAGCGCGACCAGCGGACTTTCTTACATGCGAACTCCAGAACTGTCCTGAAAAGGAAAGGGGTCAAGGAACACTCACAACTAAAGTGACGGGGCTGCTGCCGTGGCGCGGTGGGCTAAGCCTCCACCTGTGACGCCCACATCCCACCCCATACGGGGGCTGGCTCGTGTCCCGGCTGCTCCTGGGGCCCCTGCACCCACACGGGAGCCCGGAAGAAGCTCCTGGCTCCTGATCAGCCCAGCTCTGGCCATTGCGGCCATTTGGGAAGTGAACCAGCAAATGGAAGATCGGGAAGCTCTCTGTCTGCAATTCTGCCTCTCAAATGAATAAAATCTTAAAAGAAAAACCTAACTAACCTTAGAGGTGTAAACCTGCTCCATCAAATGTACCTGGACCTTGCTATGGACATAGACACACCTACTGGGGCACGGAGACCACCTGAAAACGCTTTCCTGCCAGACCACCTTCGCAAGGACAAACAAGACCAGGCACAGGGGCAGACGTTTTTAATAGTTACAGTTCAACCGAATACAGTGAGTGAAGAACACGCTTCTAATCCGTGGCAGGTAAACGTGGGTACGCATGGTGACACCGCAGCTGTCCACGCTCCCCCTGTTTAACAGGCAATCCAGGCCCGCACCAGACTCCCCCAGGCCTAACTGGTGACCTGGCGCGAAGTTCACCACTGAGAAGAAAACGGTTAGAGGGATCCCGCACCGCACACCCGCCGGGCGCTCACCTTCCGCCCTGGCTTTCTTCGCTCCCACAGGTTCCGGGTCTTGCAAGCACCTCTTCCGATTTGCTCCCCCGCCAGCGTGGTGAGGAAGCACCTCCTGACGGCCCCCATTCAAGAGGCCGTCCTGGCAGAAGCGGCTCAGGTGACGGTTCTGCAGGCTCAAGAGAAACTGGGTGCACTCCTGGAAGCCCTGCGTCTGAGCAATGTCCGCTGCCGTCAGGCCACTGGCATTTCTCAGGCTGCGCGACACAAACACAGCGAGTTACAGCCGGCGGCAGGCGCCCACTCTGCTCCTGCTCAGCTGACTAGCTAGCTATCTGAGGGCGACAGGAGGAGGCGAGTTTACAGCAAGGCTGCATTCAGTACGTGGTCCCTCGCCCGTAACTAACTCCTCTCACATACATTTGATTTCTCAGCAAGATTTGGGAGGCAGTAATTAAAAAAAAAATCAATATGCTAAACTTTAAAAAAGCCATCTTCCTATTTAACGTCTCAAAATAATGCTTAATATTAGTCTGAAGGATCTGAATTTAGGCTAACTTCAGACTTAACCTGCCACTAAATTCTCTATGATCTGCACTTAATTGTAATAACCCACTCTTTCAGCTTGAGTAAAATCATAACAAACAAACATGTACTGAAATTGTCCATGGCATTCATACTGGCTTCCTAAAGAACAGGAAGTGGCGGCTCACCAGCCACCAGCGCTTACGGCAACTCGTGACACTGTAAGTGGAAGGACCCCCGAGGCTGGCTCCGGCAGCCACCACACTGCAGACCACACAGGCCAAGCGCCCTGTTCCTCTCTGGGAGGAACATCCCCCAGCACAAGGGGAAGGCCTCTCCAGCCAGGCCTGGGGACGCACGAGGCTCCCCCCAGTCCGGAGAACCGCCCACCTGGCCAACAGCACTGAGACAGACTCCGCCCTCTCTCCAGGACCTAAGTGACAAATCCAGACACAGAACAATCAGCTGACCTTGCAAACCTCACTCAGGGCACCGGATTACAAGTGAGGAACAAAAGCAACTCCAAGCTGCAGTCCCTGGAAGGAACGCACACCGTGGAAGCAATGTGCAAAAGAGCGCCCACACCTGCCCCAGCCGCGGGCCTGTTCCGTGCCGGGGAGACAGCAAGGTTACCAGGACGCGAGGCTGCCGTCCTCGGGGCTATGTCAACATAAAAACACAAGAGGCCGAGAGTCAGGGACACAGGCTCCGTCTTCCACCAGGGGAAGGCTGTGATTCTGTGGACAGGCACAGCTCCGTCCTCCTGCCTGCCACAGCACCCGTGAAGCCCCAGGCTCAGAAACAAGAAGCCTGCACGCTCTGGACACCCAAACACAGGTCTCCGGCTTCTAAAGCGTGAGACAGAAACGCTCCTCACCTGGACAACGTCCAAACTCAGTTCGACAGGCACAGAAGAAACACAACTTGACAATCCCAGAAGCCAATGAAATCTTGAAGACACACAGGGCTGTTAGTGACCAAAACCGACTGTCACTTCTCAGGAGGCTGCATGGCTGTGAATTCTGATGAACAGCAGCCCAGCAGCTCATAATGCGCTTATCGCGGTACACGAATCACACGAAAAGGCAGCTCCACAGTGTGGGCATGAATGCATTACACGTGTCCAAAGTAAGGTCGACTCGTTAGGGAGACACAGCACACCCAGGACACGGTGCACGGCTGGGGGACTTCCTGTGAGGGGTCCTGGGTTTCATTTTCTGAAGGGGCACAAAGGAAAACAGCCCATCAAGACCCTCGCTCTGTGAAGAGCAGGGTGCCACACGGGAAGCTGACCGAGCACACACGCAAAGTCACCGATCCAACTCCCTGGGGAGGCCTGGACTCACGCTCCAGAATCAGACGGTGTCGGGCAAACCAAGGCACTGACCCAACAATGGCACCGAGGAGGGTTACTCTTAGGGACTCAGAGGTAAACAGTGGCAGGCACATGTTTCAAAAGGCCTGGGCGGCCACACGTGCCAGTTCACCGAGGAAAACTCAGGTGCCAGCCAAGGACTCTAAGTGCCCTGGCGGGAGTGTGCACCTCTCCACCCAGGTAACCCTCAAGGTCTCCCTGTTGCACCTGCCCCCACCCCACCCAGGTAAGCCTCAAGGTCTCCCTGCTGTACTGCCCCCCCCTCCACCCAGGTAACCCTCAAGGTCTCCCTGCTGCACCTGCCCCTCCCCCACCAGGTAACCCTCAAGGTCTCCCTGCTGCACCTGCCCCCCCCCCCCCCCCAGGTAACCCTCAAGGTCTCCCTGCTGCACCTGCTCCCACCCCACCCAGGTAACAACCCTCAAGGTCTCCCTGCTGCACCTGCTCCCCATCAAAGCAGCGGCACTGGAGCCAACCACATTTCCAGGTAGTTTTGGGTACTATGTTCAAAACAGCCTTTCTACCAAGAAGAGCTCGTAAGCCATCCGCGCACCTGAGCTACATGAGCTCTGTCTGGAGCAAGCCGGCCAGGCAGGTCCATCCCAGGAAAACAGAACTCCCCTTGGCTTCTCAGGCAAGCTTGCTGGAAGCAGTACCGGTCTGATGGCAGAAGGTGGACCAGGAGTGAGCGAAGGGCCAGTCCAAGATGGTGATTCTGCTCCAGGTCTAGAGGCCCCGCCTGCATAGCACTGTCAGGAAGTGTCCTCTCTCTGTGTCCAGCACCCCACCCGAGGTCTCGGTCCTACCCTGTGCCGCGTCACCAGGAACGGGAGGGCTCCGAGGCCAAGCTAACAGCATCTCAGCTGACCCTGGGCTGCAGCCCTGTTCACACCTGACGCCGGCACACAGCCAGCACCAACATCTGTCCCTGTCCCACTCATCTGCACCCATCACCTCCTCTCCACGCCTGTGTCCTCTGCTCACACTGCCCCCCCCACCGGGTGTGCAGTGCTACCGTCCCCAGGGGTGGCCTCACATCCTGACTTGGCAGGTTCCCACAAGCCTCCACTTCTGGGGAGTGGGGCTGGCCTGGCGGCCAGGCCCGAGCTGGCTCAGCCCGACTCCACCTTCCCATCACCACAGACCCTGGGAGGCAGCAGTGCTGACTCACGACTGGGAACCCATCCACACGCAGACCTCCACGGTGCTCCCAATCCTGGGCCTGCCTCAGCCCAGCCCTGGCTGCTGCAGACATTCGGGGAGCGCACCAGTGAAGGGAGTGTGCTCGCTCGCTCACGCTCTCCGTAAAACAAACAAAAAAAAACCAAAACCCCTCTGCTTAGGGTCACTGAAACCTGGATTTCATACTCTTTTATAGGTCATGAAATACTCTTTGCTTTCTGTCCAACTATCACCGTTGGACAGCCCATCCCAGCTCACGGCCGACCACACGGCACAGCGGCAGGGCAGCCACCCCTCTTGATGGGGCTCTCCTGAGAACCATCTGGTGATCTGAAGCGCTATTCAGGTCAAGCAGCCCACCCTAAGCCTTACATACAGACACGTGCAGGGGGCTCCAGAAGCCCCTTGGGCGTCCAGGGTGCGCGTGGGCAGCCGGAGCTCCTCGCCAGGACCGCGCTGTGTGCTTCCATCTTTACACCGTTCTCATCCGTGCGTGCCTTGCTGTTAAGCGACACTTCAACTGTGGAGTTCTGATGGCTGAACTAGCAACCCTGGTTAAAACATACCACACTTCTGACTGCAACTATGCAGGTAGTGTTCCAAGGTTAAGTTACCCCTGCTTTATTTTCCTGCCAACGCAGTGGGGTGGGCACACGGAACACTGAGGGGCAGGTCTGTGCTACTTCCCACGGGCGTCTCGGACTTGGCACCCGGCTCACCCTTCGTCCCCATTCACTGAGAGTCCTGAGTGACCAGGCACAAACACCGCAGCCACTCCCGGCGGCCTCAGCCGAGACTAGGAATGAAGCTGACCTACAAGGCAGTACTGACGCTGTCCCAAAGGGAGACAAAGTGGAGGAAGAAACTTTAAAACTAATCTGAGGGGAAGACGTTGTGGCACAGTGGGTTAAGCCCCCGTCTGCAGACCAGCACCCCATAAGGCTGACAGCTGGAGTCGCAGCTGCCCCACTTCTAGCCCGGCTCCCTGTTGATCTGCCTGGGAAAGCAGTAGAAGATGCCCAAGTGCTTGGGCCCCTGTACTCACGTGGGAGACCCGGAAGAAGCTCCTGGCTCCCGGCTTCAGTCTGGCCCATCCCTGGCAGCTGCATCCATGTGGGAGTGAGTTAGCAGAGGGAACATCTCTTTCTAGTAAAACAAACACAAAAACCCCGAGGGGCCGGCACTGTGGCGCAGCAGGTGAAGCAGCCACCTGAAGCGGCAGTATCCCATACGGCTACCGGCTGGAGTCCCGGCTGCTCCACTACTGGTCCAGTTCCTCCTAACCTCCTAATGTGCCTGGGAAGGCAGCAGCAGCAGAGGTCCAAGTCCCTGGACCCCCGCACCCACAGGGGAGACCAGGAAGAAGACCCTGGCTCTTGGCTTTGGCCTGGCCCAGCCCTCGTCCTTGTCACCATGTGGGGAGTGAACCAGTGGATGGAAAGATCTTTCTCTATAACTCTGTCAAATAGACAAATAAAACTTGAAAAAGAGAGAGAAAACTAGGAGGTACGCCGAGGCGTCCACGTGGCCTCAGACTCCGTCTTTAAGCAGAGCGGAGCGCCCCGGCAGGACGCACGCCCTGCACACACTGGCCCAGCCCCAGCATGGCTGCTGGTGACCGCGGGCAGCTCCAGGCCCTCTCCCTGCTCCTGACGGCCACCGGAACTGGCTCTAGACCACCGAACCAAACTGGCTGCACGTTATTATGGAACCACGATGACTGTGCTTCTTTGCACCTAAGTTCTGGCTCCCGCGCGCCCACCAGGAGCGGGCACAGCGGTCGGCCACTGGGCAGGCAGGCCACCCGCTCTCTCCCCGTGGTCCCTAAGGTTCTCTCCAAACCACAGCACCGGAACACAGGACGCCCCGGCTAACCTGCGCTATGGACGAGACATTCTGCTGAGTAACTGGCAGTGACCACACGCGGGCTGAACACAACGCAGCTGTGCTGCAGTGCCAGCCACTGTTCCAGAGAGGACACCGTGTAACTCACTCTACCCGGGACTTCGGAAACAACTCCTCTCCCCACCAACAGCCTGCCGCTTCCACTCACAGTGCCACAACACAGAAGCCGTTCTCATACGGAGTTTTGGTTGGTTTTGTTTTGGTGATTTTTTAAAAAATTTTTTTCAATTTTGTAAAACCACAGATCAGGAAACTCCTGAAATGCAAATTTTTTAGAATTCAAGCTGTCACATCACCTCCGTGATGTTTTTTGTTAATGCCATGTGACAATAAAAAAAGAACCACAATTTTTATATAAATATTTCTGTTAAGAATCTGATCTCAACTTAGCTATTGTTAGTTTACAAATAAAAAGGTAGATATCATAAATTAGGGTAAGCAAAGCATGCAAATCTAAAGAATCTATATCTGAATTCCTAGATTAGCATTAAAACCAATCACCGCAACAAATACCTCAACAGTATGCCTTGTGTGCAGAAGGGAAGCGATACTGAGCATTCAATGCCACAACCGTAAGGTTTCGGAGAGGCACCTGTGGCAGTTTCAGCAGTTCTATATGGAATGCTCCCCCTCGCTAGGGTTACTTGAAAAAATCAAGTCAATTCGAATTACGTAGCTGTAAGACATTGACATGTGTGGTTTTTACAGATTCAGAACCTTCTGTGTGATTTAAAACGGGCAATGGTTCATACATAGGAAACTTAAATATAAGGGATCACATATTTGCAGGCAACATTTGGATTAAAACTACATATACACATACAAGGTGCAGAAGCACAGGTACTGTGCCCGACCAGGAAGCGACGGCTTGGAAACACTGCCCTTTAAATTCTCTCCCGTAATTCCTCAGCATGAAGCCAATTTCAATAGGTCAATATTTCAACAAGTTTAACAGTACGGACTGAAAACCATCAACTCACGATTCTGGTTACTTTAAAATTTGGAATGCTGTATCTCAAATACATTAGTAACTATTCCTAGATGGGAATAAGCAAATACATGGTATCATTAAAAAAAAAAAGAAGATAAAAACATCACCAAATGTCCATTTGTACAGACAGAACATAAGCAAACATCTGAAACATCTTCAAAAAAGAAATACATGTGTATTTTTAACCCTTTGGTATCCAAACTCTCAGAATTAGAAAGACTTTCTTAAATATATTCTCTAGTTTAATTATATGAAGAAGCTATTTTTTTTTTTTAAAGTTTCTACCTGAATAGATTTGGTGCCAAGTTTTCATTTCAATCCCAACACCGCTGAGGACAGTTTCACCTTGCAAGTAAATCACAATTATGTTTGTGTACATTAAAATCCAAGAGCACCACACCTGGGAGTTTGGTAAGTACTTCCCACGCTCCCGTTACAACTCAGCACGGGAAAACACGTCTGGATTTAGAAACCACCGACAGCAGTATCTACCAAGGCAGTGGTTAAACCCCTCTTACACAGACATCATGTAACGCGTATGAAAAACGACTGAATTCTAACTACGCTCGCCGAACTCTCACACGGCTGCTCCCCGCGCCCTCGCCTCGGGAACTGTTAACTTTCGGAAGAGAGCAGCAGGAAACGCGCGGTCAGGGCAGCCTGCTCGGAGGATGGCCAGGGTTCAGGGCAGCTGGACGACCATCCCGACGGGCAGCAGTGAACACACAAGCGACCACAGGGTTCCAAAAGTTAAGTCTGGGTCACACTTCTGCCAAGGGCAGTGGCGAATGGGTTTCTGCCACTCGGGGAACACATAGCTCCCGTGCCGCGGGCAGAGGTGGGCTGCCACAGTCCAGCCCCTCAGGCCCGACACTAAAGCAACTCCACCTCAGCACTGCCTGCAGCACCCACGTCCGTGAGTGGCGCACGGCAGCCGCCCGGGCCTGTTTGCTCCATGAGGAGGGAAAGGGTAAATCCTGGAGTCCCTGAACTCGCTGACAGGAAGGCCACACAGGTCTCCTCCAGCGACCCAATCACCAGTCATGGTCAAGTTTCTCTTGGGATCCAATGAAGTTAGGACACACACAGCCCAGGGGCGACCTGGTTACCACGAGCCAACGGCTTCTGAAGAAACCAGAGAGGCACAGACCCCGCCGCTGACGCTGGCCTCTGCACAGGTGCTACCATGGACTGGCAGATCTGAGACGCCGGTCATGCCGGTCCCATCCGCAACCCTGCTAAGTCCTCCCGTCTGCACTCAGGGGCCCAGGGACAAGCACGGGGGATAGCCCTTCCCACTTTCTCTCTGAAAAAGTAAAGCAGCAGCCAAAACCCGTCCGAGCCAAGACTACAAAAGTCAATTCTCGGCTCAACACGAGCGGTGGGCAGGTCTGTCATCTGCAGCCGCCCATCACCAGTCTTCAGGCGTTTTTCCAAAACTCACGCCGAGACTTCACCGCAGGCTGTCCACGGGCAAGCGAGGCAGACACTCCCACTGCGACCTGCGCGCGGCGGCAGGGTGACGAGCACTGAGCACCCCTCGCGAGAACGACTCCCCAGGGCCTCAGATCCTTTAAAGTACACAAACACGGGGCTGCGTCCACCCAAATTTCAATCCTTAGAACTGACGGCAAGTGATGCAGAACCTCGCACGGAAAAGAAAACTTGGCACCAAAACTCAAGATTAAAGTAAGAGAAGAAAAAAAGTCCGTTCACATACTCACGTGTGGTGCTAGAGAATTTACTAGGGCGCACGGCAGCCGCAATGTGTCACGCCACACGGACGCGCCTACATCCACAGTGAGCCCTGTGACAGCCCGTCCCAGCCCAAGACACTCAGTACACTCGCCCCCATTATTAGCTACCTGATGACCAAGAGAGCACAATTTCAGACTGCGGCCGCTTCACACAGCAGATATATGAAAGGCAAAGTAGGAATTAGAGCAACGTCATTAATCTGAAAACACTGATAATGAGGAAGCTTTTACTCGACTCACAGGACAAGGAAAAATGTATATTGTCTTCTAAATAGTACAGCATGTAATGTAACAAATTAAGAATCTGGTTCCTTTCGAACTGGAAAAAAAATAACTTCTAGTAAGAAAGTTAACTGTCCCCCTTTGGTCTTCAAAATGGAAAAGGCCCGTCGCCTGCCGGGACAGGTACGTCACAGGGCTGCCACAAAGACCCAGCACGCTGGAGGGGACCAGACTGTCACGTGCCGGAAGACCACACGGGGACGCTGTGGAAGCAATGACAGCTTCGCTCCCGCTCACTGGAAAGGCAGCCATCTTATCTAGATGTTAAATGCAAATAAACACACATAACAACAGCATTCTACAGTGATCTCTGGTGTTCTAGCTCCAGGCCAAAGACTTGTCATCTTAAGAACTGCTTTTAGCTACGTAGCTCAGGCCAAGTACTTCTAAAAAAAAAATCTGGCCGCTCAGTCCAGGGAGGTCAGCACAGTGCGGGTCCCGAGGGGCGGCTGATACTGAGAAGGAAACCGCCTGGCCCAGAGGCCACACTCAGCCACACCTGCTGGGAGAGACACGCAGGCTCCTGGAACCAAGGACAGAATGATAAATAAAAGACTCTCATTTTTTAAAAAGATACCTCCTTAAAAAACACACAAAAAAACTGAGAACACAGTGTACAGTGTTAGATGTCTACTGGCACAAAAGATCAAGCTATCCCTTAAAATGAGAACCAATATCCTTTTAACAAAATCTTCAGGATTGATTATTGTTTAGAAAAGTAAGTTTTAAAAGTTCTTCTAATTAGCCATTATTTTAATACATGACAAGCAATGTTATATATGATTATTTTAAAATCAAACCTTCTGTTAAAGCAATTAAAGATTTGAATTTTTAATCTAAATATAGCTGGAAAAAAAAATAAACCCAGCATCTATAACTTTGCTTTAAAGCAACTCATTGAGAATCTCCTCAAAGTTTTACAACTGTATAATCAATGTCCATATTAGCAACTGTTTTACATTACCTTCAGGCATAACTACATACGGAGTCACAAGGGTCCCTGCAATGTAAGAGTTAACACGGCCACAGTTACACCCCAACTCCCTACCGAGCAGCGGGCAGCGGGCAGCGGGGCTGAAGCCCAGTGAACGGCTCACCTCACGCTCGCCGACGCCGGGACCACCGGCAGCCGCTGGCCGCTCCGCAGCCTTAGCATCGTGTCAGTATTTAAGCGTCAAAACGACGAAATGGAAACCAAAGGGTTAAACTAAGTTAGTCTGGTGGGTTTCATTTCTCCCAAAGCCCCCGATTTTCACATTCCCAATCAGAATCAAGTGGTTCATAATGAACGTCTAGGAATCATCTGCAACACTTAGGGTCGAGTCATCAGTCACTCTGGTTATCACGGCTCTACAGCTTACACAACATGTAAGGTGACAACCGCATCCACCGTGTTAATGCTGTCAGCTGCAGGAGAAACATCTCACAGTGTGAATCTTTAAGAGAACGTTAATACAAGTGAATGGAACACCTGGAGTACAGTAAGCACACAACGTTACGGCTAGCTAAGGGTTCTGCGTACAAGAGCCCGTTTCTGAACTAGTGTTTCCACACTGAGCCGCTGTGTCCGACCACAAGTGAGCTGGCTGGGGATGCCAAGAGTCAGGCCGGGAGGCAGCGCCGCCTCCGGGCTTTACCGCCCGCGTTCCGGGCCTGCTAATGGGAGGGAATCAACACCAGAAAGGCCAAGTGTCTTTACGAATGCTGTGAACCCGAGAGGCCTGGCGAACATTCTAAATCCAAGCCCCTGGTTTCCCGACTGGAACTCAGCAAGGAGAGGTCTGAAGCCTTGCCCTGGGTGACGCAGTTAGCGGCAGTCAGCGGTGCCGGGTTCCAAATCTACTTTGTGAACCCTCTCCTGAGTCCCGGGAGTCCCAGGAGCCCGCTTCTCCAGGTCATCATCCATGCGGCTCCGCTAACACAAGCGATCTAGCGGGAATGCTACGGCTCCAGGAATTGTGCTGGCGCTAAATTCTGCCCTTACACAGGACCCCCGGACCACCCCCGCGGCGGGAGGGGCGCCTGGAGACACTTACTCGACACGAGCCCCGCTGGCCACCAGGGCGCTGATGCAGTCCAGGCTCCCGGAGCGAGCCTGCCTTGTGAATCGGAGTCTCGCCCTCACAGTCCTGGAACACAAGAGCAGAGCCACACTGAGACCCCGCCATGCCACGCGCAGGCAGGAGGCCGCGCCCTCGGCATGGCGCAGAGCTGCGAGCACACAGGGGGGAGGGGAGCAAACCAGGGACACCCCCGAACTCCTGCAGCTGACAGGGGTGACAGCCCAAGCCCTCAGCGGCGCTGAACAAGGCACTTGGTGCTGATCTTGGCAAAAGTGCGTCATTAAAAAAAAAAAAAAAAAGACATTAAAATAGTAACCAGAGCCAAGAAAAGGACCTACCGGTTCCACTCTCATCTACCCCGCTCCTCGGGGTCTACCACAGGCTAGGCCGGGCCATCTTCAATGCCTGAACTTGAACTGAGCCCACATTTTCAGGGACGGTTAGAGGAACACCAGGGCCCAACAGCAAGCTCGGCGACAGGCTGGGGAGACTGGGCTTCACGGTCACCCCGGACAGGGGAACCCGCGCACAGCATCCCAGAAATGCAGCTTCCACAGGCTGTTAGGTCAACGAGGAAGGGTCAAAGACACAAGCAAGCAGGAGCAGCCGTCTGCGTGAGGAAGCCTAACCGCAGACCGTGCGCCTGGGAAATTCTGAGGCCGAGCAGCGCCGTCACGGCGGGAAGGTGGCGGCACCGCCACAACCGCGCGACGAAGGGACGGAGTACAGCGACTGTGCCCTGAAAGAGCGCCCTCGCCACGCCGCAGGTGAGCACGGACTCCTCCCTGAGGTCCGAACAGTTGAGACCGAGCGCCCGACAGAACAAGGAGAAACACAGAAAATCCACGTGGCCATTCACAGGATCTAGCTAGCAAATTCACTGTTTTGTTTTTTTTTTTTTTTTTTTTTTTTCCTCTTCCAAAGCTAAAACCTAGCCCCATTCTCCCAAAAAGGAAGGAAGTACTACTTAATAAGGGCAAGTAAAAATCACACAAAAACATGGGCAGGAAAACTACAGCTGCTACTCCAGAAGGGGAGCCAGGGAGGCAGAGAAAGCCGAGATGACGCACAGGTACACGGGGCCAGACGTGTCCTCAGACACGGGGCTCTGCCAGCAGCAAGGCGGCTTCTACAACGGTAGCCTGTGGCTGACCAGACACTGGACATGCCTGGACTCCTTCACCAACTCCTGAGATTCGCGAGGCACGCCGGGCATGGCACAGGGCGGCCGCCCCACAGGGCCTGGGCTCACCTCCACGGCAGGGACACAGAGACATGAGCCCCACCACTGAGTGTACAAGAAACACTCAACACAAACGGCCTTTAAAGCTATCCTTGGGACAAAACGAAGCCACAAGGGTTTGTTATTCCACGAGAGATACTCGGGAAGCTCATCAAAAACACAGAGGACCAAGTTACACGTGGGTTTCAACAGTCTTGTGTGGAAACCCGCTCCTCTTCTATCTCTCCCTCCCTAGAACTTTCTGGGTTTCCCCATATACAGAACG